GTCTGAGAAGTAACTGTCACCTTTTGCCCACAGCACTTCCGCGCCACCCTGCGCCTCTCACGTGCTGGTCCACTAGACCTGAGCCGCACTCAGGACAGCGCCCTGGGGGCTTCAGCTGGCCTTGAGGCCACAGTCCCTTCTGATCCTGTCTCTGCCCCCTGGTGCAGCCGTCCAGCCTTTAACCGTGAGGTGAATGCCTCTGAGCCTCGCTTTCTGAAGTGCGAAATGTAGATAATTATACTTATATTCACACGCCTCATGGGACTTCTTAATATTTATAGCTGCAAAATACTTTGCAGTCATTTTTATTAATAGTTACCAGATGTGTCGTAAGGATTAATGAACTTATGATCTGAAATGTTTTGAGCTCTCGAAATAGGAGGCAGCCGCCTGCATGGGGGATATGCAGAGGAGCATTAAAATGCAAACAGTACCGTTTGGAAATGTGAGCCCTTCTGTGTGAAAGACAGATGACACTGAAGAGTTCGGTACACTCTGAGGGTGTTGCTGGTGTGCACAGTGAGGCTGCTGAATTCACCGAAGGCCACCGCCCGGTACAGAAAGCTGGCGCTCCTCCCGGCCGGACACACGCGTGGGTGCATGTGTGCCGACTTGCTGCCCCCTCTGAAGCCAGCGTCCCCCTCGCCCTGTCTCCTGTTCTTCCCGGGCGCCATCTCACTCTCGCCCCTAGTTGTCTCCAGGTGTTTGGTGGCCTTCTTCATATCTCTGAATTCTCCTTCCTGTCTCCTTTTCCTCTTATCATCCAAGTTCAGGCTCTTACATTACTGGTGCTGTGCCGAACCACTGACGCAACTGCTTAATTGATTTCTCCCAATTCTCTGTCTCCTCCTCTAGGGATGATCTTCTGTAAGCCTAGTTCTTACTACCGCTTCATTCAGTTCCTCTGCTAGCTCTTCGTTGCCTGCAAACATCCACCATAAGCTCATAAGGCCGCCTCCGCACGCCCTGACCTCCCTTGCCCCTGCCCAACTCTGGTCACTGCAGATCCTTCCCTCTCTTGAAGACCTCCTGGAAGGTTGAGGAGCTCTTCCCAGGCAGGGAAGTGAGAGGAGGGAGCCTCCAGACAGAAAGGGCAGCCTGCCTTTGTCACGCTACTTTTCATGGGTTGCTTGACCCCTGCCAGGGGCCGTTGTGTCTTCATGGTCTGTCTCCAGGTGGTCACCCCCATGGAGATGTTCTCGGTCTGCTCCCTGGATAACCCCTTCCTCCTCCGCATCTTCTCTGCTTAGAAACTTTTGTTCTGATACCTGTCATCTTCCTTGATGTTTTCATTTTTTTACATACGCGTCCTTCCCCCAGACGGTGTTGCTGCCTTGTTGAGTGAGCCCGTATCCTTCTGGTCTTCATATTCCCACAGCACTACTGAAACACTTTGTGCACCTGAGACCTGAGTCCGTCCTTTTTTTTTTAAGTATTTAAAATATTTTAAAATTATTTACTAATTTTTTTTTGTGGGGGAGGCTGTGCTGGATCTTCAGTGCTATATTCGAGCTTTCTCTAGTTCTGGTGAGTGGGAGCTACTGTCTAGTTGTGATGCACGGACTTCTCATCGCCACGTCTTCTCTTGTTGCAGAGCAGAGGCTCGGCAGTCGTGGTACACCAGCTTAGTTGCTCCGAGGCATGTGGAGTCTTCCTGGACCAGGGATTGAACCCATGTCCCCTGCATTAGCAGGTGGATTCTTAACCAGTGGCCCACCAGTCCCTGAGTCCGTGTTGAGCTGAAGGAGAGCCCCACTAAAGCAGAGCCCCAGTTAAGTTGTCATGCAGGGCAGCATTGTGGGAACATTTGAAATACACAAAAATAGAGGGAACACTGTGGTGGATCCCCATGCAGTCGTCCCCCAGCCTCCGTGGAGACTTGTCTGCGGGCAGTCCTGGGGTCTGTGCCCACCCTCTTGAGCACGCCCTCTGCTGGAGGACAGTCCGCCCTGCTGCGCTCTCATCCAGAGCTGCTGTCTGCAGCCACTGCTAGGAGGGGGCACATGAAGCGCCTCGTGCGGGGAGCGGAGAAGTAGGTGTGGCGGGAGTACCTGAGTTTACACTCAGGACCCGCTCAGACCCGATGTGATCTTATCGTTGACATAGGTTCCAGCCACTTCAGGTGTATCCAGGAGTTGGGCGGGTGTCCCTACAGAGCAGAGGTGTTGCCTGATCAAGAAGTAGAAGTGTTAGTCATGTCCGATCTGACCCCATGGACCGTAGCCCCCCAGGCTGCCCTGTCCATGGACTTCTCCAGGCAAGAATACTGGAGTAGGTTGCCATGTCCTTCTCCAGGGGAATCTTCCTGACCCAAGGATCGAACCCAGGTCTCCTGCATTGCGGGCAGATTCATTACTGTTTGAGCTACTCGGGAAGAAGCGGTTGTGGCGGTGGGGTGGGGGGTGGGGGTTGCAGAAAGTAGTGCTTGTGGAGAGTGAGGGACCGTGAGGGGAAGCGTGAGGTCTTCAGCATGGAAGCCTGGAGCCACGAAGTTGGGGCCCTGTCCCTCAGGAAGCCCTGTGGCTCCGCTGGATTCCAGTATTGCATCCCAGTCACAGATACTTTCCCAAGCATTTACTGGATTTGTAAAAAATTATTCTGAATCATAAAGAAAAGTATATTTTTCTGTACTCCATTTAGGAAGACATAGAAAAGGTTTCATCCTGGGTGGATTTTTACATTTTTGTGCTTTAAAGGAGAATGTTTCATCTCAATCTTGTCTCTTTTAAATAAGATATAACTGAAGAATGTAAGTATTTTGGTGTTCCAGCTTAACAAACTTTTTTTCTGCCCTCACTGAGAGATATGGTCTGAACACCTTTCCATTCGTGGGGGGCTTCGGACACAATGGGGAAAATGAAAATGAAGGTGCTAGCCCCTGCACTGAAGGGGCCATAAGACGGTGGAGGGCGTGTGCTTGAAACGGAGAATCCCTGAGAGGAAGCCCGGGGCAGGCAAGACGTGTGACGGGAGTTGGGTGGAGAGGGGTATGGGGGTCTTTCCTGGTCAGGGAATCGAGGGAGAGGCTGGGGGGTTCATGGCCTTGCTGCTGGCAGGGCGCCCTGCCTCGTTCTGTTCCATTGTCTTTCTTAAACACACCTCTGATCCTGGCTCTCCTTGGCCTTCACCTGGAGGAGCTCCCCAGTATCTGCAGGGTAGAGTGTATCTTCTCTTATTTTATCCTTAGGTCTGCCCATCTGTTTGGCTGTATCTCCTACCATGTCCTACTTCACTATCTCTGGGCCTTTTTCTCGGATGCTGGTGCTCTTCCCTTACCTCTAGCAGAATTAATCCTTCTAGCACCTTTCTCCCAGAGGCTGTCTCAGGGCAGCATTGACTGTAGCAGTACCTTTGCTACAACGCAGCTGTTTGCTGTGTGAATGTAGGTCGACACCCTTCTCTGTGGGCTGTTTTGTTCCAGATGGACTTTCTCCCTTCAGTTAAGAGTCTGGGCTGCTAGAAAGGAAGCACGACTTGGGCTGTCAGCCTTCATGCCTGCAGACTCCTGGGGAGTCATGACCACAGGGGAGCCCTGGCGCCCAGACACACCAGGGGCCTGGGAGGGACCAGGTGCTCAGGGCTGGAGGAAGGGAATCGAAAAGGTTTCCAGCCCAAGTAGACTAGATAGATCAGGCTACTGCGTGGCAACAAGCCCCGACACCCAGCTTTGACTCCTCCTGTGAAATAGGATTGAGGGTAGGTGTTTGGCACGGATGGAGCCCTCTTAGAGCCGAGCTGTCTGAGGGGACCTCCAGACCTGTGCATTGGAGCAGGAGGCAGGCCCAGGAAGGGGCCAGACCTTGGTTGGGGAAATAAATGCAGAACATTGTAGACCCCAGGTTTCTTCAAGATGGTTGCATCTGCTCTGTGCCCACCTGCTGTTGTGAACGCAGCAGCTGCCGACTCCTTCAGGGTTACCAGATCCTCCTCCTGGCTTTTCTTTTTTCTGGGGCTAGTTTTTGTGTGTTTTTTAGCTGTTTTAAAAAGCTCTTCCTTGAACCACACATCCATTAGGAACTGGCTCCACTCATGTGATCTCACTTGTGCCCATCAATTCAGGCTCTTATCCCATCAACCCTGCACTGTCGTTGGCACCTGTCGTTTGCCCGCCTCACTCTTGCACTGTTTCTGCAGCCAGTCTGCCGTCCATTGCCAGGTTGGTCATCTTCATGTCTTGCCCCCTCCGCCCAGGAGCTGGGGGGTCCTCGCCATTGCCCAGGAGCTTCGCTCAGACCCCAGAGCCTCTGCTCACGTTGCTGTCCCTCTGTACCCCAGCCACACTGGCGTCCAGCCTCGTCCCCCTCGCTGCCTGTGATGGCCCTGCCCATGCGCCTCTGGACCAGGAATCTCCCTGGCCAGGCAAGGCTTGGTTTGTACTCCACCTCCCCTGAAGCCTTTGCTGATCTTCCTGTCCTGTCACATCTCTCTGTTAGGTCCTGTAATGCTCCTATGTACAGATAATAAGTGATACTCATGCATGCTCTATCGTGTCCAACTCTGCAACCCCAGGGACTATAGCCCGCCAGTCTCCTCTGTCCCTGGGATTTTCCAGGCAAGAATATGGGAGTGGATTCCCATTTCCTTCTCCAGGGGATCTTCTGGACCCAGGGCTCAAACCCACGTCTCCTGCATTGGTAGGCGGGATCTTTACCACTGAGCCATCCAGAAAGCTCCATGTACAGATCCAGCCCTTGGCTAATGTGTGCCATGCACGCAGAGAGCACCTCCACTCCTTACTGTCTTTAGCCTGTGTCTGGTGTCTCTGGGGCTGGGCCACTGACTCGGCTCCTGGCTTTGTATATTTCCAGCAGAGCATCCCCACCCAGCGCCCGACAGCCCTGCCAGGCAGTGACTTGTCAGAATCCCTACAAGCTGTAGAAGTTCAAACTCTGGGTGGGTCCTCCTGACAGCTCTCCCGTCTCTTCAGTTGAAGGCTTCTCTGGTTCTGTCTGCTCTGCTCCCCCTGAGCCTCGAGCCCACCTGCTTCCTTGTCTCCTCAGCCCGTGCCCCGAATCATGGTGCAGCCGGCCCTTCCGGACGCCGGGTCACCCAGGATGGCCGAGGTGAGTTGGTCGGGCCGGGTGGTGCCTTCTCCGCGGCTGTCCCACATACAGCGGGTGGCCCCAGTGCTGTAACTGTGGAGTCCACGCCCGTGGCTTTTAATTTTAGCATTCCCATCTCGATAATGAACTATAATATAGGTCACTGTCTTCTCTCTCTGTTTTGCTTGTTACACTTTTCTATTTTCAACTTGCTAATCATATGATTGCTAAACTCTTAGGTGCTTGACTGCTAATGCCGTCTGCTGTTTTAATAGCCCACTGCTCGGCAGAGGCGATTTCTATAAACAGAACCCTCTCCTTATCCCAAGTGCTGGCTTCATTCTCAGTTCTGCATTTTATTCTGATTCATGATATCAGCGTGAAAAGACTGACGCTAAGCTGGGGTAGAAAATCATCTCTTATGATCTCCCACAGATGAACAGCACTTCTCATCTTATGAATAGCAAATCTATTTTCTCCCACTGTGCCGTTCATCCTCTGAGGAGATGCTGTGTCTTCCATAGGAAGTGTTTTATTTTTTACAACAGAAGCAAAAGAGGCCAAATAATTTGAAAGATAATTCAGATGTCCAAGAGTTCACTCCTTTCTGCGTGGCCCATTTCAATCCTAGGTGTTCACGAATTTAACCAAAGGTAGAGCTGCCCCCGCCCGTGCCCCCATGAGTTGTGTTGATGATTTCTTGAGGCAGGACTGGGGCTCCCAGGCCAGTGGGGCAGAGGGAGACCCTTCCATGAGGGTGTTGCCCTGCTGGCTTGCTCAGATCTAGGCTTTCTGGCAGCCTTAGGAATGTCTGTGCTAAACTGTGACCCAGAGACGGCAGGGAGATTCCCACTCACATAGCAACTCCACTTGAGTGGGAACCTGCGGTGGCAAAGCGCAAGGATCAGAGCTGCGCTTGGCTCAGCGGGAAAGAACCAAGAACTGGGGTAGTCAGAGATCACCTTCCGCACCCCCTCTCCTCTTTCCTGTTGCTGTGGGTCTGACCTCTGATCCCCAGCTTTTCCCTTACTGGAGGCTTTGGGTGAATAGCTTCCCTAGGCCGCGTCATAAAGTAAGTCCGTTCTAGCCCACATCAGAGGACTCTATGGAAACTGATGGGGCTCTGAGGCGCTGTCCCTGGGCCATTCACTCCTCAGGACTAAGTCTTTCCTTCAGCAGATCCTGCAACTGGTGGGGGGCGGGGGGGCTTATTGGGGAACTGCAGACTATTTCAGAACCGTGGTTACTGTTCAGATTTCAGAGTCTCCTAAATTTTGCTTGTGTATTCTTCCCTGCCTGGTCAGTGAGATTAAAAATAGAATAGAAAAGGATAAATAAAACATGTACAAGTTGCGAGAGAAAAATGATTGAAGGATTGCCTCATCTTTTAGAGTATTTATGCTGGTGACAGTTATTGATCTACTGGATTTAGTAAATTTTGCAGCCCAGAGATCCATCACAAAAATGGGTTGTTAATCTCAAGAGGTGCCGTTAATTTCGTACCCTGAGAGTGTGCCTTGTGGGGGAAGGAGGGCCTCCGGAGACAGGAATATAAATGACAATTCACGTGAAAATGCATGATTTATCAAACTGCTGAGTTAAGCCAAGTAACTGTAAGAGACTTATAGATCTCAGCTGTTTCCCAGTTCAAATAAATCCTGTATTTCAAATGGAAAATGGCCATTCCTGTAAGATAAATAATCTTTCCGTAAATATTGAGAACATATTTCTTTTTCTGAGCAGCACCCTTCTCGCCCCACAACCCACTTCCCACTCCGTCTCCCATTCCCTGCCATTGTGCACCGGGAATAGAAAGATAATCTGCCGCCTTCTCCCGGTGGCTGAAGTTTTCATGGCAGGAACGCCCGAGAGCACGTCGGGCCCATGGGGCTCGGCGGAGAGTCAGCTGTTGGCATCCCCAGGGCACGGGGCTCCGAGTGGCTCTGCTGGTGTGACTCAGACCCAGGGACGAGAGGCGGGGAGCCCAGCGCAGCTCTGGCCTCACTCAGCCCTGCTCGCCGGGCTGGCGGCTCCTTGGCCCAGTAGTCTCCAGGATCAGAGACCCTGACCCGGGCCGTGGGACCAGCCTTGAGCAGCACCTCGAAAGACAGCCTCTCAGGGGAAGGGGACAGCCCTCAGGCAGCCTCTGTCCCTCCTCTTCCCCTGCCCCCGGCCCCGCAGGCCCCAGGGGTGTCGCTCCTGCCCGAGCTGTGCCCTGGCACGTCCGGATCCCTCGCCGAGGCCCCCGTTTCAGTTCTGCAGGAGCAGAGTGCTCTCCTGGCCTCCAGCGATCTCTCAGCCTCCCCAGGAAGTTGGTGCTGGGCTGGGGCGAGGGGGTGTCCGTTCCCGAGAGAGCAGAGCTCCAGGCCTGAGTGTTGGTGTAAGAGGGAGTCGGCGTTCACATGCGCCATGCTTTATGTGAAGGCTCGCCTGCCCGTCTTGTACCACACTGCCCAGCTGCCGCCCCGCGTCGGTGTTCCCACCACCAGGCAGTTCTGACCCCAGGGGAGTGTCCCACAGTTAACTCCACCTGACCCTCTCTATCCGGTGACAGCATCCGATCCCCGCAGCTTGGGGGCTCCACCCCACACGACTGCCCCCACTTCAGTCGCCAAGTCCCGCAGGCTCCAGACCAGAGGATCCCCTGACCCCTCCCTCAGGTGCAGTGGATTTGCTGGAGCGACTCACAGAACCCAGGAGATGTATCTGACTTACTAGACTATCCCTTTATTAGAAAGGGATGTAATACAGGAGCAGGCAGATGGGAGAGGCCTGCAGGGGAAGGCAAGGCACTGCCATGCTCTCTGGGCACGGTGTCTGCTCCCATCGCCACGTGTTCACCTACCCAGAAACTCTCCAGACCCTGTCCTTTTTGGTGTTTTGTGGAGGTCATTACATAGGCATGGTTGATTAAATCGTTGGCCACTGGTGAGTGAGTCAGCCTCCAGCCCCTTCCCAGAGGTCAGGATGGGATGGAAAGTTACACCCTTCTAGTCATGTGATTGGTCCCCTTGGCAAGCAGCCCCTCCCTTGCTGCTGCTGCTAAGTCGCTTCAGTCGTGTTCGACTCTGTGCGACCCCATAGACGGCAGCCCACCATGCTGCCGTCCTGGGATTCTCCAGGCAAGAACACTGGAGTGGGTTGCCGTTTCCTTATCCAGTGCATGAAAGTGAAAAGTGAAAGTGAAGTCACTCAGTCGTGTCTGACTCTTCGCAAACTGTAGCCTGCCAGGCTCCTCCATCCATGGGATTTCCCAGGCAAGAGTACTGGAGTGGGGTGCCATTGCCTTCTCTGGCCCCTCCCTTGGGGGTTTTCCAAAAGTCACCCCCCTTAACATAAACTCAGATGTGGTCGTAAGGGGCTTGTTATGAGTATCAGGAAACCTTTATTGTTTCTAGCATTTGGGAAACCCCAAGGGTTTTAGGGGTTCTGTACCAAAAACAAGACATTTAAGACCAAATGTGTAATTCTTAACTAGAAACCTTACCGTCACAGGCAGCTGCAGGAGCTGTGCTTATGGAAGGGGGTGGCAGTGAGGGGCACTCTGGGCTGCCTTGCTCAGCCCGGGTCAGGGCAGGGAGGGGCAGCGGTGGCTTGGAGCCTGTTGGCCTCTGTTGTCCGTGCTCAGAGGTGGCACGGAGAGCTGATGTGGGAGCCTTCCGCCCTGTTGCCCGGCCCCTCTAGTCACCATCAGAGCTGTCTGTCTCCGCCGACAGCAGGATTGGCCTCGAGGCTTTGTGGAGGAATGCCTGACTCTGAACTCTCCCCTTTCCAGGTTCAGCGGGAGAACGGGGGCCTGCGCGTGGCCCCCAGCGTGCCTGTGGCCCCGCCGGCCACCCCTGCGCCCAGGACCTGTGATGGGTCCCCAAGAGTGACACCCACCTCCCCAGCCCCCGAGGGTGGCGATGGGCCCCCCAGCCCCCTGAGCGAAGCGTCCAGCGGCTATTTCTCGCACAGCGTCTCCACCGCCACACTGTCGGATGCCTGTGGCCCGGGTCTGGATGCCATGGCCTCGACCCCTCCGGGCCCCGGCCTGGCCACCCTCGAGCCCCCAGCCACCTCGGTGGAGGGAAAGGCACCGGGCAATGGTGCAGCCCTGGCCCCAGTTGGGGTGTCTGCAGAGAAGCAGAACCAGGCAGCGGGCCCCCCACCACCCAACCAGGCAAGCAGGAGCTACCCTGCCGCCCCCCAGAAGCCAGAGAACACTCAGCCCCAGGTGAAACCAGGTGCCGGCCCAGAGTCCGACGTCTCCAGGCCACCGCCTTCAGACCCCCGGTTCCAGTTGCCCGCTCCCACCTCTCCATTCAGGATCCAGAAGGTGCGGACCTCGGAGCTGAAGTCGTTCACGCGCATGCTTGGCGGGGACCCCGGCAGCCCCTCGGGGACCACGGAGGACCCACTGGCCTCAGGGGACCTGGGGGACGGCAGCGCTGGGGCTCAGGCCCTGGGAAAGCTGGAAGTCTCCTCGGATTCTGAAGAAGCCAGTGAGGTCCCAGAGTGGCTCAAGGAGGGGGAGTATGTGACGGTGGGCACCAACAAGACGGGCATCGTGAGATACGTGGGACCCACCGACTTTCAGGAGGGCACCTGGGTTGGAGTGGAGCTGGACTTACCTTCAGGTGAGTGACGCTAGTTTGGGACAGGCTCCTGCCCCCATGCCCACTGCAGTCTGGCAGAAAAGTGTGGGTGCTGCCAAGCACCTGCTGTGTGCCCTTGGGCACATTGTTGCCTTCTCTGAGCCCTGGAGTCACCACTTTTCAAAATCAGGAATTTTCTCTAGATAAGACTCTCCTAAGTGTTTTAAGAGTCAGATTCTCTCTTTTTTTAACTTGCAGAGATTTGTCAGAAACTTAAAACATTCATTGAAAGCTACTAAATATTCGATAATGAATTTAAATCCTGGATCTTAGTTTTTAGTCACAGAAAGGGCTGCATTTGAACTGTCACAGCATCTCTGCTCTGCTAGCTCAGGTTACAAACTCTGATGCCTGTGGAGGTTCAGATGCCTCAGGTGTTCTCCAGACACCCCCAGGCTCCTGGGCCCCCAGCAGGAGGACGGGAGGAGAGGTGAGTCTCCTGTATAGAAGGGCCCACCTTCAGGCCAAGACATCATCAATTGTAGAAAAACTGAGGGCAGGGCTTAAGGAATTGTTTTCCTGTTGTTTTTTTAAAATTGAGATACAGTTGATTTACAATATTAGTTTCCAGTGTACAAACCGGTGATAAAAATTTTTATAGATTATACTCCATTTAAAGTTACTCTGAAACACTGGCTGTGGTGCAGGTGCCGTAAGTGTATGCTTGTAGCCTGTTGTATACACAGTAGTTTGTGCCTCCTAAATCCCCTGCCTCTGTCCTGCCACTCCCGCTTCCCTTTCTCCAGCTGGTAAATCAGTTTGTTCTCTGCGTCTGCAAGGCTGCTTCTGTTTTGTTATAGTCCTTTGTTTTATTTTTTCAGTTCCACATGTAAGAGAGAACATACAGTATTTGTCTGTCCGACTTAATTCACTTAGCATAATGCCGTCTAGGTCTAGCTACATTGTATATAGCAAATGGACAGCAGGTTTTTTTGTTTTTTGGAAATAGTTTTATTGTGATGCAGTTCACATAACAAAAAATCCAGAAGTTTAAAGGGTAGAGTTCAGCAGTTCTTACTATATTTCCAGAGTTGTGCAACCTGATTTTACAATGGGTTTATCAGCCCCAAAAGAAGCCATAGGTCGATTAGCGAGATACTGCCCTCCCCAAGCCCCAGGTAAACCACTAATCTATACTGTTTGTCAAAATTGATATGAAAGGTCCTAATCTGGACTTTCATATAAATGGAGTCATAAAGACCCGAGCTTCTGTGGCTGGCTTATTTCACTTCTCCAGTTCCCCGGGCTCAGCCAGGCGCGCCTGTCCGCCCTTCGTTACTTATGGCCCCTGCTGTCCCGTCGTAAGGCCGCCCGTGGTGTTCATCCACTTGTCGGTTGATGCACACTTGGGTTGCTTCCACTTTTTGGCCGTTGCGAGTGAAGCAGCGGGGAATCCTCATCTAAGTTTCGTGTGGACGTCCTTTCTCTTGAGGAGCTACAAGGCGGCTCTCTGCGTCCCACACACCGAGCCTGGCCGGCCGCCTGCCTCTCTCCCTCCTCCCGTGTCCCGGGGCGGGGCGGCCGCTCCCTGAGCGGAAGCTTGGGGGACACGTAGGGGTCAGGGACCCACTCCTCATCCCCCGCCCCGTGTTGCCCTTCACCTTGAAGCACTTTCTATCTGCTTTTATGAAGGAAACATCTTCTCCCCACCTTGACACTTCAGGCTGACAGCTCACTAGCTGTTGCCGTTTAGTTTCTCGATTGTGTCCTGCTCTTCGTGACCCCATGGACCGTAGCCCGCCAGGCTCCTCTGTCCGTGCGATTCTCCAGGCAAGAATGCTGGAGTGGGTTGCCGTTTCCTCCTCCAAGGGATCTTCCTGACCCAAAGGCTCAAACCCGTGGCTCCTGCTTGGCAGGTGGATTCTTTACCACTGAGCCACCAGGGAAGCCCATCTCTCTAGCTTCAGTTTGGTAATTTGTCAGTTCCCATCCAATAGCTTTAGAAAAAATAATCATTTTACCTTACGACCTCCTTGCTTGGTTTGCATTTTGACTGTCCAGACTGAAAATGGTCAGTGCTGAGGGAGAACAGTGGGCTCTGCTTTGCCACATGGGCATCAGAAGCGACCAGGCCTTGACTGAGTCTGAGGCCACAGGGATCTGTCCTCAGTGACCACTGGTGCTGCCGGGGAGGCGCTGCCCGGGCCCCACGCCTTCCACGGGGCGCGGCTGCTCGGGCGCACGGGGGTCCCCTGGGGCTGGGAGCCACCTCCACACCTTCCTCTCTTTCTGCAGGTAAGAATGACGGCTCCATCGGCGGGAGGCAGTACTTCAAGTGCAACCCAGGCTACGGCTTGCTGGTGAGGCCGGACCGCGTGCGCAGGGCAGCAGGCACGGGGCGGAGGCGCAGCGCGGGGCTCCGTCTGCAGGGCGCCCCCGAGCCCCGCAGGAGTGGCCTGCTCTCTGGCTCCGCCAGCAACCTGGCCTCGCTGACGGCGGCGCTGGCCAAGACCGAGGGCACGGCACTGAGGGCCGAGCGTGGCCACAGGAACCCCGAGAACCGCAAGTCCTGGGCCAGCTGAGCGGCGGGGCAGTTGCCTCCCGTCCTTCCGGGGTGATGGACAGAGGGCTCCAGGCCCCTCCGAGCCTTTGCGGGGACAGTCTTTGGGGGGCCCTCTAGCCCCTCTCCCTGGAGACAGGCCAGGAATGCTTTTTGCACGGTGATGTGGGGCTGGTGACCCCCCGCCCCTCACTCCCCTCGTTTCGCCCACCCCCCAGGGGGTGAGGGCGCGTCTCAGCTGGACCTCAGGTGGAAGGTTCCAGGAGCCCGGAGTGAGGGCCCTGCTGTCCCTGGGCCTGGGGCTGCCCACTCATGGCCGCTGTTGCTCTTTGTTCTATCTGGTGACCCCGTTAACCTCTTAATTTAAAACATAATTGTTAACTAGTGCCTTGTCACTTCCATGGAGGCGGCCCCCAGCGCCTCAAGTCCTGGCTTGCACCCCAGTTACCCCCAACACCCCCCAAGTGCCAGCTCCTCTAAGTGCCTGGGCCCCGGGCCTGCCCCCTCTTTCCCGCTTTCTTTCCACAGGGTTTCTTAGAGGTTCCTCTGTGGGTGTTTCAGCGCCTTTATACCTGGAAAGTTTTCTCTCTGCCATTTATTCCCTTAACAGAGTTCCTGGATTATATTTATTTATATTTATTTTTTTCAAAATCTAAAATTGTTCGCGAGCCACAATCGTCCACTCAGCACCGGTACCCAGGACCCACCTTGCACATCGCCGGCCTCCATGACCACTGCGGAACAGCCAGCCTGCTGCCTCAGACGGGGCTCCTCGAGGGGTCAGAGGACACTCAGTTCCTCCCTGTGTCTTAAACACAGATGCACAAGTGGCCTTACTCTCATCTGACAGCAAAAACGGGAGGAGGTGGTGGTTGTGCTTCTGTGTTCAGAGGCATCACAGCCTTCCTTGGTGCAGTTTGGGGTCTGGGAGGGTCCTTAGACCAGTTGAGCTTCATGGCAGTTCTGTGCTCTGATGCCCACTCAGCCCAGGGCTGCAGCCTGGCAGGGTTCACCCCTGGGGGCCTCTAGGAGCCATGGGCCAGACAGCCCTGACCCTGAGCCCTTTTTCCATCAGTGCTTCTCGAATTACTAAGGTGGTGGTCCAGTGACCTGGTGACGAACATTCGGCTGCCTTCCCTGCCTGTCATCGTGGGAGCCACTGGGCCTGTGCTGTGAGCAAGATTTGGGGACACCCTGCAGTTGGGGGTGGAAGCTCGGAGCTGGAGTTTGCACACAGCGTTCTAGCCTGCCTCTTCAGTTCTCATGTTTAGACTCTTAAAAATGATAGCCAGAAAGCTTGAAAAAAAAAAGAACAACAAAACTCGGTTCTCTAGCAACATGAAGCCCCTCACTTGAAGGCGGCCCTGGTTCTCTGCCCCTGGGAGGGGCCACAGGAAGGAGCGCGGATGAAGTGGCCTCCTCGACCCGGTGTGCTGATGCCAAGGCACCCTCCTGTCACCTCCGGGACTGCGGGACAGGATGGAGCCACATGCAGGCTCTGCCGGCCATGGGCTCGCCTGCCCAGAACAAGATCTCATCACCCCAAGCCTCCCTGGCCCGATTTAGAAGGGGGGACAGCCCCGGGAGTCTAAGCTTGCACCCCTTCGTCTCAACAAATACTCCCAGCTTGGGAGCTGGAGGGGTCCCCACAGTGAACAGGCTGAAACCAAGGAGAGTTACTGGTTTTTCCAGTGTGTGGAAGGCCCGGCCTCTGATTCCCCATCCGGGCTCTGTGTCCCTGAGAAGTGGCTTCCAGCACACCTGGACCTCTGCCCGTCCAGGGCACAGCTGCCCGGCACAGAGTCTGCAGGTTTTAATGACCTGGCCCAGTATGCCCTCGCTCCATCTGCTGCCCCAGCAGACAGCCGACCGGGGGTTCCGGGGAGGGGTGGGGGGCTCCCCATGACATCTGCCCTAACGGGCAGAAGGTATCTTTCTCATTCTCCCGGTGCAGCTCCCAAGCTGGTCGTTTGCCCTCCACCACAAGAAGCCTGTCTCCTTCCTTCAGGGCCAGGACTGCCGGAGCCCCAGGTTTGCAGGGGGCTGGGGGTCCCGTCTGTGGGGCCACCCCCAGCACTCCCCTCCTGTCCTCCACGGGTCTGCTGGGGGAGCCCCTGCCAGGCAGGGTGTGTGCCTGAACTAAGTCCTCTCACCTCTGTGTCAGCTTTTCTACGCAGCCTCCTTCCCAGCATAGATGTTCTCCTCCAGACCTGTTTCCAGGGTGAGACCCTGCTCCCTGGACACCCTCCTGTCCCTGGGCTCGGGGGCGGGGGGGCAGTGGCCCTTGCTCCCAGAGCCCCCGTGACCTGCCTGAGGGCATAAAATCGTGCACCCCACACTTGGAGAAACAGTGTGGGGAACCAGAAAGTGGTTGGGGTGTTTGTGATCCTCATGGACGGAGCCCAGTACTTGCTGGGGCCCGTTTGCCCCGTGACGGGCATCTCAACCTCGCAGAACCGGCCTGGGGTGGTCAGCTGGGGCACGAGGGGCCACGCTTATTTTGTTGCTGGTTGAGCTAAAGTGGATGAGACAACAGTAGGGTCGCTGCCCTGGGCGGGTTTTTGGCTGGAGCTTGTGGAGGCTGAGAGGAGCCTTGGGTGATACGGGCGGCTCCTTCCAACCTTGAGGGAGGCCAGGAGCCTTAGGTGATGTGGGTCAGCTCCTTCCAACCCTGTTGTCCCGGGAGGCCTCGGGACCCCCTTCTCCTCCCGGCCTCGCCCCCCTTTCTCCTGGGGCCTGCCTTTCAAACGTCCCTAGTTCCCTCTGCCTGAGCGTCTCCCATAGGCCCTGCCCCGCGCTCACCGGGGCCTGGCGTCCCTACGCAGTGAGGCGGCATCTCCTTAGAGCCCTTGGTCTTGAGCTGTTGAGACTGGGGGGCAGCGGCCAGGCCCCTGTGTGCAGAGGTGGTCCTTCCTCCCGGGAGGGAAACTCTGTCGCTGCTCTTGAGTCTGTAGCCCATGGCTCGCCTGGGATTTTCTTAGAATGAAGCGAGTTTGGGCCCAAGCTTGTGGTGTTAGGAAGGCCAGGCCACGTCACTGGTCGTCCTGATGAACTCTTCCCGGGGCCAGGAGGTCAACACGCAGGCCGCCCCAGGCACCCTCACCCGGCAGCGCTACTGGCAGGGCAGGGGCTGGCCTGGCTCTCCTGACCCCGCTCTGGCCCCTGGGTGGCCTGGGACCCTGAGGGCAGTGAGGGAGCTCTGGGAGAACACAGCGGGGTGTAGAGGCCTTGCTGGGTCCTCACAGGGTGTGGGGAGGCATCCATCGTCCCCCCCTTCTTCCACACCACGCCCCACTTTGCTTCACGACCTCACATCGCCTTGGGTCAGTGTGTGGATGGATGGAGCAGAGTCCTGGGACACCCTAGCCTCTCGCGCGCTGTTGCCCGCCTCCTGGGGGCTTGGGGACTGGCCTCTCCCAGGCGGGGCAGGCAGCTCGCCCTGCCCAGGCCGTCACGCCTGTTCCCGCTCCTTGCTGCACGCTGATGTTGGCTCGGGAGTTGAAGAGCTGCGGTCCCGAGAGCGAGGAGCCAGGCAGTTCTCCACCTGAAGGTGTGGGGGTGTGGCTGGGGAGTGGGCGGGAGTGAGGGGCTCCCCCTTCCCTCTGTCTTCTGTCCTTGACTTGCTGACAGACAAACCTCATTTTAGACGTCAGCCAATCAGGCTCCAGGACTTAGTAAGACAGCAGGAGTGGTGGGGGGCCGTGTGGCCCGGGGGCTGCAGGTTGCCGGAGGACAGGTCAGTCTCTGCTCAGAGGTGGTCGCCCAGCCCAGACCGCAGGGCACTGTGCGGGGAGGCAGTGGGGGTGGCTGGCCGAGATGCCCAGAGGGAGCGGGAGGGTGAGAACACCCAGCGGTGGGGCTGCGTCGGGTTGGCCGTGCTGGGTGAGCTGTGTGGCCCGGGGGCTGCAGGTTGCCGGAGGACAGGTCAGTCTCTGCTCAGAGGTGGTCGCCCAGCCCAGACCGCAGGGCACTGTGCAGGGAGGCTAAAGGCTCAGGTGTCCAGCGCGCCCCCTTCCTTACCCTCCCTCCTCTTGCATTAAGCTCCCTTGTCTGTGAGACCCTCTGGGAGGTTTGCTGGGCCGAGATGCCCAGAGGGAGCGGGAGGGTGAGAACACCCAGCGGTGGGGCTGCGTCGGGTTGGCCGTGCTGGGTGAGCTGTGAACGGCCCCTGCGGAGTCAGTTGGAAAGGCTCGGGTGTCCAGCGCGCCCCCTTCCTTACCCTCCCTCCTCTTGCATTAAGCTCCCTTGTCTGTGAGACCCTCTGGGAGGTTTGCTGGGCTGAGATGAGCCGCCCCGGCCACGGCCTGCCTGCTCACACCTCTCCAGCTTCCAGGGTTGCCACTCCGTCCGTCCGTCCATCACTCCTCACCTCCAGGACAGGTTGTGCAACCTGAGACCCCAACTCCCTTGTCCCTGCGCGCACCCTTCTCGGGGGAACCCCTCGTGCCTTCTGCGTGCTGCTCATTAATCGTGTTGGGGGCGTCTTGGAGCCTCTGTGTGGAGTTCTGTAAATATGATGGGTTCACACAAGGAAGTGATTTTGATTGGGGGATTGTTGATCCTACACGTGAAATGGGAGTTAAGAGAAACCCAAAGACTGTAATGACCTGTAAAGACTTAATGATTTGTATTGTATAGTGAACTAAACTTCTGTAATTTTGTACCTTATATGCCTTCCCACCATATGACCAACAGCCTTTAAATAAAACCAGATGATCTCTTGCCTACGTCTGTGGTCTTCCTGTTGCTTTCCCCTCTCCCCACCAAGGCAGGGGTGTTGGGGCTCATTCCAGACTGTCCCCCAGAGGCCGGGGTGGCCTGGTTCTGAGTGATGGGGCGGGGCTTTTCAGCACAGAGACTGGAGGAGGGGAGGCTCAGGGCAGTAGCAGGTCCCCTGAGCACACACCCCCTGGCCCGGCCGTCTTTTGTCACGTATGTGGTTTTGTGGCCAGTCGGTCGAGATATCTTTCAGGAGCCAAGGACCAACAGAAACTTCCTGATGACCTTAGACTTGGAGCTTCTGGGCTAACTTGGTGGAAGGCCACTTTTCTGGAGCAGGCATGTCCCGGCTCTGGGCCTCGGCCTCCGTGTCCCCCTGGATCTGCGTGCTGCGCCCCACGTCAGACGCCGCAGTCAGGGAGCAGGGCTTCCTTACACTGCTGCACAGGTGAGCGGACCTTCAAAGCCTCCGCAGCAAGGGGATGGGGGAGGAAGATTAAGGCTGTGGGCGCCAGCAGGTCCCATCTCCACAGGTCTTGGAAACTGATGGCAAATTTTGGGGTCCTGCTTGCCTCAGGCCAGCATCCTCAGGACGTGGCACCCAGCGAGAACCCGAACAGCACTGGGGACAGGAGCAGGCCTTCTGAGGTGGCCCCAGGGTCCCACCCTCCCCATGAGGATGTGGTCAGCCCAGCACGCTGGTGGCCCCACATTGGTGAGTCACTGCCAGCGCCTCGCCTGAGATAAAATGTACTTGCAAGAGTTAGGGTCATTCTCCCCCGCCCCCCGCCCTTGCGGAGGGCTATAGAGCACTTCTCCCATAATTTTTGTAGGTCTTGTGAGATAAACAAGACTTAAAAAAAAAAAAATGTACTTGCAAACATAAGGACCACAGCCGCTGGGAGGGCTGATGAGGAGGTGGCCGGCAGTCAGAGCACGTCCTGGCGGGACTTGTTTATATTCATAAGTGCCCAGGACTTGTTCTCAGAGATAAGCACTGCCAAATAATGACGGAAATTTGGCAGCCAGGAGCTGTCCTGCTCCAAGGCAAGCGTCTCAGATGGATCTAGCTCCTAGGATAAATCTCGTTTTTTGAGCGGCTACTTACTCTCTTGCAACTCAATGAGATCTCCTCTGCATGAGGCTGTGGGGTGTTTAGTCGCTCAGACCTGAGATGGGTGCCAGTGGGGACGTCACACTGTGTCCGTTCGCTCACTCGCTGGATCACTCGGAACACCTGTGTGCCGTCCTGCACTGGGCCTTGTGCTGCTGGATGAGGTCCGGGGTCATGGAGCTACAGCGCGGTGCCCACTGGCTGGGGGCCCTGGAGCTCTGGGGGGCAGAGGAGGTTCCTTTGGAGGGCTCTAGATGAGGCGCAGGGATGGGATGCTGTGGGCACAGCCGGAAGGAGCAGTTCCGGCCCAGATAGGAGGAGCATGGGGTGGCGACGGCCCCGGGCATCCCCCTCCTCTGAAAATGTGCTCGTCTCTATTGGCAACCTAAAGCTTGAAGACAGCTTAAAGCTTTGCACGGTCTTTCTCACCATGTGTGAGAAAACAAACCACGTCTTCCTTTTCTCTTGAGAAGGGGTTGGTAAACCTGTCAGGTGAGATGGGAGCTTGGGCACCTGGTCTTTCTGTCCTGCTTAAGAATTTGTTCCCAACCATCAGACGCCTTAAAGAAACACAAATAACAAAGCTTCAGCTTTCTCTCACGTTGTTATTGACTGCTGAAGGTGAAGCCCTAGGAAAGAGGGTTTCTGTAGGAAAGTGAGGTGCTGAGGGTGCGGCCCTCGTGGAAGAGCAGCTGCCGGCATCCTAGTGATTTCAGGACATGGGGTGTGGTGCCTGTGGGGAGGGGGACCACGGAGGGGAAGCTACGGGAAGGCATGGCTTCTCCTGGGGAATTCAGGCAGATGCGAAGGGAGTGCAGGCTGGAGGCAGCAGGGGCCGGATTCCCGGGAGGTGCTTGATCATCCCCTGGACCCATTCCCAGTCATCTCCTAGAGTCTCTGGGACACTAGACTGTTCTTAAAGCACGAAGGGACGGATGTTCAAGACAGAAGGGTTGGGCACTTCCCAATGACTGTTCTTACTCAAAGAAATCCCGGCCAGCCTTTATTCAGTTATACATTTTATTCTCTAATAGGTACAATACTAAAATAAACACAAATTAAAAAAAAGTTTTATTAAAACAAAACTGTACAAAAAAGCAGTATACTACATTTTAATTACAGAACAGTCTACTGTCCAAAAGGCACTAATCCAGAATAGGAGATACAAGGATACAGGACTCGTTGGAACTATTTTAATCAATACAAGAGAGCGCTTGTTTCTCGAACCTTGTACATCCAGAAACAAGGGCTGTTTGCTACAGTCATCACACATCGTTATAAATATGAGTCCCACAGGCGAAGGTGCAGTATCGCTCTCCCTAGAGAAGGTTCACGTCGGGGTTGGGGGTGGGAGCACGCTGAGAAGTGGGCGGGAGCAGGGGGCAGGCCCAGGCCTTCGGTCGGGGAAGGCTGGCTGCCTGGGGCACGCAGAGCCAGTCTGACGCTCGTTTCTGGCCACTGCTGGCAGCCGCGCTACTGCCTCTTGTGTGTTAGCACCGGGAAGGTGGGTTCTGAGACCCTCCAGGGAGCTGGGGCTGGAGGCCTGGGGGATGAAGCGCCAGCAGCTCGGCAGAGGGGAGGCATTTTGTAACCTGATCTGAAAAAGGCAGCAACTAGGTGGAAGGGGGGGCCAGAGCCCAGGAGCCAGGCTGGCTTTCTGGGCGACCTTCTGGCCCTGTGCGAGCCCCCCGACCCCACAGTGGGGGGTCTGCCTTAAAGCGGACAGTCTTGTTTTGGAAGCTGATTTCTAGAAAGGGGAGTTCTGGTTTCCTCAGCCCCACCTCAGGGCCTCGAGTGGCACCCGGGCAACCTGGGCCACTGCCCCATGTCTGGTGCCCAGGACGGCTCTCTCCACCCCAGGTCTCACTCTCTAGAGGACGCTGGCCCTAAGGAAGAGAGATACTGCAGATTTCCAAACAGTGTCATACACGTGAGACAAAGACAGGCATCTGATGTTAACAAAAATAAGTAACAAAGAAACAGGATTAAACCGAATCTCTTCTCACAGCATCCTATACTACATCCTCCTTCTGCTTAGCAGAAAATTGTACGTACACAAAAATACAAATACACAATTTTGTAGAACAGTCTGATTTTAATATATTTATATATATTTATATTTATACGAGTGGCAGGTTAGTTCATTATATAGAGCTTTTTGCACTTTTGGCTCATATGCAACAAGGCTTATAAATTCAGCTTTAGCTTTCATTCAGGTTTTATAGCTTTTGAACAATTGTTTTCACATTTAAAGCAGCATCCAATTTGCACTAGGAGTTTGTGGTGACAGAGGAAGAGATGGGGTCAGGAGGGTAACTGACGAGGGCGGGCCGGGGCCAGGGCAGATCTACATTCCAGTGTGTGTGGCGACGTTGGAAGGACTGCGATGGGGCAGAGCTGACCATGACGACCCCTTGAGGTAGACTGAACAGCTTACAGCAGACGCAAGACACAGGTGCGACCCCCTCAGGGACTCACGGTGCACGAGACGGGGGGGGGACACAGAGACCAAGACGTGACGGGGGGCAGAGGGCTGGTGAGCCCCGCAACATGCCGCCCCCTCCGGGCAGGGCCCCGAGGCCTGTCAGGGCCCCACAGCCTGTCAGGTACTCGACTATTTGGTGGATGCTAAATACTTTCGGGCAGTCCCGAGGCATCTGATCAAATGACCATCGTCAACTTACTTTCCACTTTAGAATCTGCTGCACCAGCTAGCTCCCATCCCCTTGACGAATGCCCAGGAAGAGGGAGCAAACCATCACCCAGTGCCTGGCGACCCGGAGCCCACATCCAGGTGAGCTGAGAGAAACCAGCCTCTCCCCCCGCCTCAGCCTCACCACAACTACCACCCAGGGAGCCGACAGGCGCTGGTGGAACCTGGACCCGGCCCCTGGAGAGCCGGGGTCCGCGTGTGGCCGCCCCGTGGCAGACTCGCCCACCCACTGCCTCCGTCAAAGCCCCCTGTGCCACCCGCTCACAGTTCCTTCAGCAAATACCACATGTGTTAAATGGGGAGGCCCAGCGTGTGGGTCATTCCACTGTCTGAACAAAAAGGCTGGGTTATTCATGAAAATAAAGTGCCTGGGTATGGACTGTCCCATTCTGCAAAACCTTGGAATGCACCAGTCCCCATCCGAGCACTGCTCAGTGCCTTGACGTCAACAGCGCGGTTACAGGAGAACCCTCGTCCTCCCGCCACGTGGTCAAGGCCCTGAGTCCAAGTACTTTGAGAGAAAAGCAAACGAACACTCTCACACTCATCTTCAAAGGCGCACTTCTGATCTCGTTTCCCCTACTGATGACAGCTTTCCTCGGCCCCTGTGGGCAGACACCTCGATCCCACAAATGGAAGAACAGGATGAACCGGGCAGCCAGGGTTCCAGTGACTGGCAAGTGAGTCATCCTGGTCCCAACTCTATCTGATTCGTGGCCCTCCTGGGTCTGGGTGCACCTTCGGCAGCTGCCCCACTCCCATTTTCCTCACTCGCCAGCTAAGCAGGCGCCTTCACAGTCTCTGCGACCGTGACCCATCAGCACACACGCCCTGGCGGCGCAGGGAAGAGTGACACAGCCAGCCTCGGATACCTCACCCCGCGCTCACCTTTGGAGCCGTCCTGCCTGTGGGGCCCGGGGACCCAGACAGGGGGCAGGCGCCATAGGCGCCCCGGGGGCCAAGTGCAGGGTCGGGGAGGGAGGAGCAGGGCACAGGCCGACCCTCTGGCGGGTCCCAGAGGTCTATACCTTGTGCAGGCACTTAAAAAACAAAGAGAAACTGATCCTCGGAAGGTACTGTGTACCCAGAGTGACCATGGCCATGGGAGAGAGGGGAGCCCAGGGGGTCAGAGAAGGCTGTGGGCTCTTCCAGGGAGGCAGCAAGGATGTTCTTGGCATCTTCTGGTGGGGACCGTGGGTGAACCCAAGGGGGGCAGAACACATGCAGGGGCAGGCAGAGGGCCAGAGGGCTAGGGGGAGGCGTGGGCTGCACAGACTTGCCTTCTATGATCAGCATGAGAATAACTATTAGGAAGAGGAGAGACCCTTCTGAGAGGAGCGTCCGAGGAGAACCAGCGCGCCACAGAGAGCAGCCTCGCCAGAGCGCTCCCCCCGCCCTGCCCCCAGTAACTTTGGTTTTGTGGCTCCCGTTTTTAGAGATGCATGATTAAGGGGTTCGCTAACAATACTGAGGTGTGTTTCTCAAGGCAAATGACGACTCACTCCTGCTCCTGACAGCAGCCCACGCCCGAGTCTCTCACCTCCCTTCAGTCCATCGCTAACAGGTACTGCCCGCCTCCCACAGATCTGGCATTAAAAACTAGAGACTTCAGGGTACCACCACCAGATGGGCTGCTGTTTACATTAACATAGCACTAATGTTCTATTTCCAGTTTAATTGCTTCAATGAATGATGGATTGGAAAAATCACCCTCACCACTTTTTGCAGGGCTCATGGTTCCAGTAAGTCAGCAAGTGTCCATGCTCCACGGAAGCCAGACTGACATCAGACCCGACCTGGAAGCGCTGGGACGTTAGAAAGGAACCCATGTGCTGTGACCAGCTTGGCGTGCACCCCGACTGGTGAGTCACACCGCCTTCCTCGGGGAGAGTCCATGTCTCCCTTTTCACATTTCACTGCCCCCAACCACTGCCCCCCACCCCCTAAGATGTCAAGTCAGGACCAGCACCTTCTTCCCTTCACTCTAAGGGTGGGTTTATTTGCTAGGGAGTCACGAGCCAGCTAGTGAAACAAGGTGCCAATCACAGGGGCCACCGAGCCCTGTTGTCAACCTGGAGACCCTCTCTCAGGGCCACTCCCAGTGAGGTGTCGCTTCTGGCGAGGTTTCTACTATCAGGGGCTTCAATAATGCATGAAAGTGCTAGTTACTCAGTCCCGTCCGACTCTGCGACCCCACGGACTGTGCCCACCAGGCTCCTCCGTCCATGGGAATCTCCAAGCACGAATACTGGAGTGGATTGCCATTTCCTTCTCCAGGGGATCTTCCCGACCCAGGGATCGAACCTGCATCTCTCACGTCTCCTGAGGATGTGACTAAGTGGTTGGAAGAGAGAGAAGTGACAGAGCTGGTCCCTGGAGAACCATCCACTTTGGGAAGTAAAGAGCTGGAGCAGAGGGGAAGAACAGACATGAATTTTAGTCAAGTTGAAGTCCTCAGGTCACCGTGGAGCCCGTGTCCCTGACAACGGTCATTGAGGGGACACACGGACATCCAGGCAGCTGGCCCCTGGGCTGAACCATGGTTATCAGAAAGCTCTGGTTGCCGGAGAGCCCACGGCGGAGCAGACACTGACCCAGCCCCACTACCTCTTGTGACTATGATGGAGAGCGTGGTGGAGTGAGTTGGAATGGCTTAGCGAAACTTCCAAACACAGGCACTGAAAAGATGCTCAGAATAGAGAGAGAACAGGAAGAGTGACCTTTGATACTCTCTGCGTCCACGAAGCGCAGCTACACCCGAGTGCTGGGACATTCAGGTTCCCCATCCCCCGGAACTCAAAGACAGAGAGCCAAGACCTTCCTTCCCAGGAAAGGGCAAAACCTTCACATTTGCCGTCTAGAGGTGATGGGACAGCGGACTGGAAATGAGGGCTCATGTCACAGGTGCCAAGTGTCACTGTGTGCCCATCACCACAGGTAGCAGAGGAGAGGTGCCAAGGAGAACCAAGGAGAAGGGATGACCTGGTGTCTAGATCATCACGGTGACACTGGCCCCGTGTCAGCAAAGAAATGATGGCAACAGGGGGGACCAGCCAGCACTGCCTGCGAGAGAGGAGCAGATGGAGTGCAGAGAATTCACTCAACAAGGCCAGGTGGACATCCTGCTACCTTCCTACTAAGATCAAAGCAGCACCTGGAGATTTTACTTGAGTCCATGCAAGGGGGAGGGGGGGGTCCTGCTTCAAGAATAAACAAGACAGTGAACACAGTCAGCACAACGCCAGGCACATGGGACAGGACAGGCTAGCGCATGTCGGCAGCTACTACGCACTTCAGATGCTTGGGCGGTCTGAGTTTATGCCAATTTAGGATGGCGGCATTGTACTCTGGTTACTTCTGACATTTTATTCCCAAAAAGTACATAGCCAGGGATAAGCACTATCTTATGTTTTCACTCATTTTGGTAAGTTGGCTTTACTTTTTTTAGTGGGGGCTGTGGTGGTGAAGGGTTTCCTGAATCACCAGAGTGGCTTCTGGAAGCATCTGGGGAGGGAAATATCTCACCAGCTCCAGTTCTTTTTAAGTAGCACCATCCTTTAGGCAGCACATCTAAGACTTTGATCCCTAAAATAGTAAGATTGTGTTTGAAGGTTTTAACTGTGGTGATAGTTCTATTTCCTTTGAATGTAAGCAAATAATCAGAAGGTTCTGCTCGCTGGCTGAATGCATGGCTCACAAATCACAGACTCAGCTGGTCAGTTTTCTGAATCGCTAATCTTAAGATGGATTCTCGGTTCTAATGGAGACACTTATTTTTCAGCAGTTGGGAAAACAAGATGCGCTACTCTGGTCTTCATAAACCCGCAACCATTCCAACCGTCAGAAGATGGAGGGGACCCCCAGAGTCACCATGACCGAGCATGGACGGCAGAAGCAGGGTAAGCTGCTTCTGATCTTGCAGGAGACGTGGCACTGAGGAAGAACCTCTTATGGCGTATCTTCCCTGACCGCTATACACTGGGCTGTGAGTACTTTGAGGGAGAAAAAAGAACCCCAAGGCAGCAACTGTCCTGACTGTGTGGGGGAGGATGGTTATGAAGCAGCAGCCTGCCTCAGCACTTTCATGGAACTGACATTTAGTGTTTGGAGTAGGAGTCCCTCTGATATGTGGCGGGGGCAAGGCTGCTGCACAAAGGTCAGCAGCAAAGTGTGAACAAAAACAAGAGCTGTGTTTTCTCTAGGGTGGCTGCTGCCCCGCCCTGGGGTGTCCAGGCCTGAAGAAAGCGCTTAGGGGCCAGGCTCATCAGTGCGGTCGGGAGCCTCAGGGGGAGCGGCTTGTGAGGGGCCACTGGCACTCTGCATCGTACAACCGAATTGACGGGCAAACCAAACGAGGCCTGTTCTAGAGAGCGAGGCAGCAGGCCATGTACGGTGCCAGGAGCCCATGTCTTCAATAGGACGAGGTGGGAGGGAGGGAACCCCACTGACGGGGCAGCACAAAGGGGACAACTTTAAGAACCAGAGGCTGCTGACACGAGGAAGCTGGGAACCGCCCGTAACGGTGGGACACTGCAGACAGCAGTACTCCACTTAGGCCTCGTCGTTCTTTACGTTTTGGTTCTTTCGAGTGTGTTCATCGTGTCTGCTGCCTTAGGTTATGAAAACCTCATTTAGCTCAAGTGCAAGCTCTTGTCTGAAAAACACTTTCTGATGGTGACCACAATGGAGACATCAAGTGACCAAGGAGAAATGGAGAATTCTACGGAGTCCGTTAAACAGAAGCCTCAGGTGAGGCCAATGCGGTAGCTGAACTGGTCAGCATATGGGACAGAGTGACCTGGAGGCTCCGCAGTGGCGGACTCTGTATGGCAGAAGCTTGAGTCAGAATCCCAAAGATGGATCAGGCTGAGACCAGATGTGAGGGAGAGGTTTAGTTCGACTTAGAAATCAACTGGGGAGCACTAATCAAAGGCTTCCATTTGGGAGCTGAAATCACTCCAAATCCTTCCCTTTCACTTCGGTGTGGACGCAAACACTATGTCATTATTTCAGTTTACTGAGTTGCTGTTCCAAACGTTCTAGGGAGCATTAGTGCTCAAAGGGAACAGGGAACGGGAGATCTGCCATCTCCAGTCACATAAAGGACAGAAATCCTTTTAATTATGACCATGCCAATCTACATCTTGCTAAAACAGCTAATTACATGTCAGGAGGACACTCAGTCATTCAGAACAATTGTCATTGTATTTTTATATATTCATTCTGTTCCACCCCCCTCAATTACCATGGTTACACTTTGAAAGGATGCGGGCAAACCTTCATTTGATCACGGCACACCAATGTGAATTTGAGAGTTAATTATGGCTGTAGAGAGCCATTTTTATTTAAGAGAGAGAAAATGAGAACAGAGTCAAGGGAGCCGGCGTCCCGACGTGTCTGAAGCGCCAGTCGAGCTGTGTGCATGGGCTGGCGCGAGGCGGTGGTCCCCGTCCCACTGCTGCCCCCACACCCACTGTTGGGCACAACACTGCTGTCTAGACGGGGGCAGATGGCTCCCAGAACTTTCCAAGTAAATGGGATGACAGGAGAGAAAGGCAGAGGCCCCCGCCAAAGTGTCCTTTTCCTCGTGTTGGGAGCTGGCTAATCAGTTAATGGGTGTGAAATGTGGGTGGTAAACTGTTGGGGGTATAAAATTGCTAGTTAGAGTTCACTTGAATGGAATGAACTAGATTTAGTTCTGCTTGGCCCAAGGTGTTATGGGTACGAGAACTAAGTCGAGGACGGACATACCTGTACTCCCAGGGCGCCTGCCACATCCTTGAGGTCTCTGGGTGAGCACAGGATGTAAGATCCTCGGGTGCAGCCAGATTTTCCCTCTCTCCTCGCTTATATTTATTCCCCTCTTGATTAGAAAAGCACTGAGAGATCTAGAAAACTAGATCTCTCAGCTTGTTAGCTTTCCTTCTGCTGCTGTTTTTCCTCCCCACTAAGGAGGAAGAATGCAGCTGATACGGAAAGTTCTCAATTTATAAGCGTGTAGCGAGTCAGCCTCTGAGACGGCAAGATGAGCAGCTGGCACGGACAGCTAGTGAGCATGAAGAACAGCCTCTTGTATGACCGGTTTCTGTGGGGGAAGATGGGCTTGTGGGCTTGATGTGTTTAGAAAGCCTTTCCCACCACCTGAGCACAGTGGGTTCACAGTTTCTCTTTAGAGAAAAGATTTCCTTATCCCTCTTAAGTGATTAGCATCTTTTGGAAAGAGGAGCATATAGTGAAGGAGCCCGCAGGACTGGAAAAGGAAGGGCCCTCACAGTCCCCTCAGGAGAGCCTGGGCACTCATGGCTGCCTCACAGGTAAAGCCTTCTGCTTTTGGTGTGGTGTAGTACCTCTCAACTGGGTAACATAGGTATGAGCGGGTAATGGTCAACTAGACAGTGTGGAGATCAGGAAACAGAAGAGGGTTTCCAGAGCACACGGCTCAGTCTGCCAACAACTGATCCCCAAATCCTGAGTGAGCACACAGAAAGGAATGTCTTCTGTAACTCCGCCCCCCCACCCCACCCCACCCCTAAACAGACACCACCAGCAGGAGCTGGTCAGCGCCCCCAGCGTGCGCTTGGGAAATCCTGACAAACAAGTGCGGCTCAGTAAAGCTATAAATGGATTCGGCTGGTTAACGCAGCCCCAGTGAATACAGTAGTAAAACACTAATGTGATCACAACAACAAAAGGACAAACTCTATCACCACTCTGACGTAAGATTTAAATCACAGACAGGTTAGCACAGAAAACCAACGCACAAGTAGAGAGGGTCAGGCTACTCAATGCAGAGCGTGTGCGACTGTGCACAAAGTCATTAATAAGAGAACTTATTGCCTAAGAATCTGTTGAGACTCACTGGGGAAAAAAAAATCCTCTGGTGGTTCTCTGACAACAACAAAAAGAGAAAAAGCAATTTTAAAAGGCAGAGCCATAGGTGCATGGGAAGACTGCTTCTATCCAAACTGTTTAAGACCAGAGAGAGAAGGACTTGATATTCACATTTTTTAGGACAGGGGCAGGGGCTCATTTGTGGAAAAAGGGATTATTCCCACTGGGTGGGCAGAGAGAATGGCTGGTCACTGGAATAAGTAGCTAATCAAAAAGCAGGGCTGCAAGACAGGAAGGAGTGTTTGGGTGACAAGATGGACCACACCCCCTACTCTGCCTGCTGCAGAAGATGAGAAAATTCCAGCAGGAAGTCAGCTCAAGAGGAGGCCTTGGTTTGGAGCCCAAAGAGGAGAGGAGTTAACCACAGACAGAAAGGAGGTGCCTGTAGATTTCTGATGAAATGAAAGACGGTTTCCTTATACCTGGTAGTTGAAATCCAAGAGGGAAGTTTGTACAAAGGCCAAATAGGGAGAATTGAAACAACTCTGTCACCAGCTCTTCATGAGCTGTCCCTTTTGACGTAAAGATATACCTGGACATCTGGATAGAGGAGCTGCTGGTCACAAACTGCTGCAACCCTATAGGCCTGGGTGTGGACCCTCCCATCTCCTCGACTAGACTTAAGTGGTCTTCCTGTTTGAGGCTCTGTCTTCCTGTGAAGGACAATGGGGATGTGGGGGAAGACCCAACCCTGCCAAAGGCTGGAGTGTGGGAACTGTACAGACCCGAAAGGTGGGAGAAGCTAACCACACTCCTCTAACACTCAAAGGACCGAGATTATGAAGAAAACTGCCTTAAGCTTTACTCCAATCTTACAAACTCTTCTGAAATAAACCACACTGCTTGCTTGGTACCGACTGCCCCTCATCTGGTGTTAAGGTTCTCATTTAATGCAAAAATGGCATTAGGATGGTCCATCTTTAAAAGGTCCCTCTGTAAGGATCTGTTTTAAGAAGCGGAGGAAGTTTACCCATGTGACTGCAGTAATTCAATGAAAGTGTCTTAAACAAAATAAGTTACCTGGAACTGCTTGCAAGGGTTCCTCACCTGGGAAGCAGCAGCCCCTGAAACAGTCCTCTGGGGCCTGAAAAATGTACAGCAGGAAGTGAGAAAACAGGACAGAAAAACCAAAAAGCATACAGTGGGATTTTTTTTAAGAGTCTATCTTCCCTTCAGAGAGCAACTTAGGGTTTCTATTTTAATACCACCCCTTAAACCTGAAAAAGCCGAAGAAAAAAAATTTACTCCCCAAAGATATGACTCATTAGTGGCCAACTCCACATGCCATGGCAAGAACTAAGGTAGCCTGGAGAAGACAGCGGAGTTAAACCTGATGACAAAATACCTACAGAAGATTTAAACTGAAGACCCAAAGAACTAAATTTTCACTCTTGGTGAGAAAGCCAAAGTTAAACATAAGGCAGTGGCAGTCAGAGCAGACTGGCAGTTGTCTTTAATGAAAGCGGTGAAGGCTCCTTCCTCTGGCTCCTACTGAACCCAAGGCGCTGCTACCCTGCCCGGGCAAACTCGTTCTTTCACTTTTTCCAGATCTCTGGGTAGCACTTGGTACTGCCTTCACAGGTACTCACCTTTACTCTCTGAAGCTTTTTGTTCTTCCTGAAAGGTCTTAAAACATTGAAACCTTTTGGCTCTTCTCTGGCAATCACTCTGTTTCTTTAGAAACTGCAGCTGCCTTTATAGTTTGAGTCTGTTTCTTTAAAAGGAACCAGCAAGAACAGATGATACTAGCAATCCCATCATAAAGAAGCTATCAATTATAATAATCTCCTTACAATAAATCATGGATGCAGCTTGTCAGACAGTATATTTTTCTCTCTCCTTTTCTTTCTGATTTAGCTGAAAGTAAGTAGACAAAAATTCTAGGAACAATAGATACGTTATATTTTTTCTAAATAATAGGAAAGAAAGCTAACACAGTCTAATTTCAATAAAAAGTCAAACACACCAAGAAAGATGATGAATGGGGGGGAGGGCGGGTCATTCCTGAGAACAACAAATGCTACTCTTGAATTTGTTGGTTCAAGTAATACAGTGAAACAGAAAAAGACTACTCCATTTTACTTCAATTCTGGGAAGCTGGAAAAAATATATACATTTTCCCCCTGAAATCCTAGGACAAGAGCAGGTCCTGCCTGTAGCTCTATGACGTCACGGACCCACAGAGGCAGCACCTCCATGCCTCTGAAAGGCCTCCTCACACTCACGTAAGCAGGTGGGACAGAGGCCGAGGCGAGCGCATCAGCAGGTGCCTTAGGTGGAGCAAGACCAGCTAGAAGCTGGCGGATATTCAGAATCTCACTGATGAGGAAGGGAAAACAGGAAGGCCAGTCATTCTCTCTCTCTCAATGGTTTGAAGTTGAAAACATTTGATGGGTGAGGAAGGGTGCAGAGGTCAGGAAATAGCCCCCTCCTTCGATCTTAGAAATCATTTTCAGGTAATGGACAAACAGACGGAACCCACTTAAGAGCCAGCCCTCTCCACATTCCCCTTTAAATAACGTTTTGTCGCACGCAGAGAGGTGCAGCGAGGCAGGAAGTACAGAGCGGTCGTGCCTCTTTCAGACGCACCCTACACTGGAGGCTGTTCCCCTCACGCACCGTGACACTGTGTCCTTTAATCAGGATGCCTAGAGATCATTTTCATACGAGGCCAGCAGATGTAATATTCTCGGATGCATGAGTAGTTCATCATTTCGCTACTGGATGACAAGGTGATCACAGGGTGACTTTTCTAACGCAAGTTCACTGTTTGGTATTTTGAGTTCTCAAAATGAAAAAAAGATTTATCAAATATAAATATCTTTAAAAAGTAACAAAAGTGCTACATATGTGATCAAGGAAAAAAATTCCATTAGTTACTGCCATTTAAAGTAGATTAAACTTTACAAATATTACCACATCCATTATCAATATGGCTTCCAATTATTAAATAAATTGCCTGTAGCAATATAGCTTTTCACACCTCTACAAGGACAGAGTAAAGAGAACACCAAAGCAAGTCACATCTCGCAGACCCGCCACGGAAGTGGCAAACGTCCCCTGCTTTTTTCTGCTCCTACTCAGGAAAGCTCTTGCGCGTGACAGCCAGCAGGCATAATCCCACCACAGAGTCCTCTACCAACCTCTCACGTTGAGGGGGCTTCAGCCTAATGGCTACAGGGACTGGAAGTTCGTTCACTCACTTTTGGCCTTAGTTCCATCCTCGAATCACCTTTTTGTTTTTTTGGTAGCAAGGAAAGGGGACACAGACAGGAGGCAGAGCCGCTTCCACGATGACTTCCAGCACCTTTCCAGGTGGGCACGTACCTGTGCCACGTACTCTATAGTGGTTCTAATAACATCCACCATTATTACACATTCGGCTCATGGTTTTTCCCAATGCTCTCAAGCTGGGTTTTGTGGGTTTTTTAACTTTTTTTTTTTTTGTCATTTTTCTGTTTAATCATGGTCCCAAAGGCAGAAGGCAGTATTTTATCTACTCAGTCACACAGCTTGTGAGAGGAAAGGATGTCTGTGTCAGGCATCTTAACATCAACTGAAATCTGAGATCGAGTTTTTCCACTGACATTCTTAGCACAGCACCCAAAGAAGTATAATCTAGCCACAGTGTGACTATTATGAGGCACGGCTTATTGCAGCTGGAAATCAATTATTCCCACGTGGAGGTGGGGGTTCTAGTGTTCCTTTTACTCTGCGGACACTCCCCAAATGGTGTCTGTCAATCCTGGCCACACTACCTCAGCTTGCATCCTACCAGTCTTGGGGAAGGAAGAGGGGTGGAGACTAGTGTTACAGGAATCTAAAGGTACCCAAGGTTTTACACGGAGCCTACTATTTGAGAACTGAGGGCTAGCTAAATACCTGGAAGCACTTTCTTGGAATGCTAAAACAGAGCAGCAAGATTTTCTAGCCTCGGGGGCTGGGAGAGGGAAGTTTGGTTGGTTGGTTGGTTGGTTATTAGTTACTGGGAATTAATACTGAGAGAGTATATGCAAAGGCTGAGGGCACCATGCCATCTTCACAGAACAAGACCCTAAGGGCTAACTGACATACAAGAAACTGCAAGTTATACTGTAAGAACACATGTTAAGGACCGAGGAAAGTCTGCTAAGGTGCTACGTCTAAACTAAGTTAACTTCTCGCGTTCAGCCCTCCCTCATCAGTCGTCATCCAGGGCCTCTGTCTTGATTTCGTTGGCTCCTTGTCGGGCCAGTGCCAAGATAGTGTGGTTGACCGCTGCCATTTCCACGGCTAACGAGATGGGGTCTTGGTGGTCACTATGGCTAGTGCTGTCATCCTAGACGTGTAGAAAGAAGAAGCAGGTGTTACAGGGGGACTGGTGAGATCCTCCAGCTTACAGAAAAGCATGCTGGGGCAAGGGGAAGCAGAACACTTGTGAGAGGGGTCATGACAGGGTAGAGGTGAAATGTATTTAAGTAGACACTGAATGGACACAGGTCCAGAGACTACTGGTTGGCATTTTGATGGTTCAACAGATAAAAAGCACTAAAGTGGCTTTTTTTTGTTGAGAAATTTTCCTTCTGCCAGAAAGACTGCTGGGGATGATCAAACCTGGACCATTCCAGGTTTGCAACCACTATAGCACTAGTAATTGAGGGCCACACTAGTGAGCTTACATTCTGGATGGGTGCTCTTAGAGATTATTACAATGCACAGTATCTCTTTGCTCAGTTGAGAAAACCAGACAAAACTACAGATATCAACACCTTATGGATAAAAATAAAAATGCATTTTAGTAGAAAATAAACCAAAACTCTCCTAAAACTCCAAACTCCCAGTTACAACAGAAGAGAACTGTGGGAAGTGGCTACGCACTCTCTGGCTCTACGGCGAGCCGGGGGAGGGAAGCGCAGGAGTCTCACTTGGAAGGTGTGAAGCCTCCCCTGGAAGCTGCATGGCAGGGTGTTCGTCAGGGACTGAAGCTGGTGTTACAGATAAGGTGTAAGCTTCTCACCTGTCATCTTCAGGGGACTCTACAGCAGGAAGCTTTGGGAAGGGTAAGCCCCTTCCTGGAAAAAAGCACGGTGTGTGCTGCCCTTAGGGCCTCTGGAAAAAGGATGGAAATGATCCATCTACACTGGTAAACTAACAAGGATGTTTCTCTAGAGTGAAACATGCAGCTCTGACTTGGGGTCCACGGGGAAGGGAAGCCTTGGGAAGTATAGGCAACAGTGCTCATTCTCACAGGCTGGTCTTTGGTTTAAACAGGGATCTGGCAGTGTCTACACTCAAGCTGCAAGACGGTGAGCAGGAGGAGAGCACGGTGGACCCTTGTTTACAAGCTGGCTGAGTGGTGTACACTGACTAGGAAAGAGCAAACGTGTTCCCGCTGGCACCTACAAGAGACCACTCTTCATATTCCAAATGGAGTGAGTTTAAAATCCTTTAAAAAAAAATTAAATCTTTAAAGTGGGGAAAAACTCCCACATTCCTAGTTACTGAATTATTCCATCCAGTGGCTACAGTTAAATATATTTTCCCCCTTAAGCAATGAAGAGGAAGTCAGGGTGAGGTGAGCAGACATGCGTTTATGAGAGGGTGTGTGTGTGTCCATGTGCTAGAGACTCTGCAGGGACCACGGTCTCAGCACAAGGGCTCCCACAGCACGGGGCTGAAGCGGGTGAGCCCTTCCACTCTGTGCGGGTGGGTTCACGTCCAGGCAGGGCCGCGGCTGCCCGGAGCCCCTAGCATCTCTCAGACATTGAGTGTGTGTGTGGTGGATGGTGGAACTTGCTTGTTTGGATCAGATCCTCCTCTCTTCTTCTACCTTCTCTGCTTCTCTGCCTCCCTCTGAACTTCTTCCCTCCTCCTCCTCCCCATTGCGTACTTGCCAAGTATCCTGTTGTATGACAATAAATCCGTGTGGGTGAATAAGGATTTCTCACAAATTCAACAGGACAACTGAATCTTAACCACATTCCTTTCAAGTTATATGAAAATCTAACTAGACACATGAGCAGAGCTGGAGGGACATTAGCTCACCCCCACCCCCAACCCCGGACAAAGCGCACCCACAGAATTGAGTTGTCATTCGACCCCACCCGCTCTGTACCCAGCAGCGCCTGCTCCGTGGCTCACCTGCTCCGAGTAGTCATTCCCGTCCACGTCATCACTGTTGGAGTGGCCTCCCGGACTCTGTACATCTATCCCATGACTCTCCAGGATTGCTGCTTCTTCGAAAAAAGCAAACAGATCCCTAAATTATCTGTTACCATACCATAAAGGTCTGAACACTGAATTTGTATTGAGGAAATGAGAATGCAATTAAACAAAACCCTAGACTAAGTCCTGTTTCTTCTCAGTTGCAGACAGATGGAATTCAGTGGCACAGAGGTCGGGGGAGCAACAACGTGTTTGCCTTTCTGGAGCCCCTGCTGCTTTGTGTGTACCTCTGAGTGGCTGACTGGTAGGTGCTTCATACTTACCAACTAATTAAACGGCTCTCCTGACTTGGGGTTCTATAAAGCATTTGAGGATTGTCATGATGAAGAAGTAAGTTTATAAGTGAAATACAATTTTAAAAGCTCAAAACCAGCCCACCATCCTGATCTCATCGATTCATGTTTCTTAAATGCTTTTTTCAGTCTCACTTTTTACTAGGTTCCCTGTATATCAAGACGCTTTTATTCCAATTCTATTAATCAGACGTTTCTCAGCCTCTGGGTCATAGCCTGGTAACAATGAAAAGGCTTAGGGTGTCTCAAGGCCTTATAGGTAGCTTTCATCTGCACCACAGGAGTAACTGATCAGAGATGTCTAATTCCAGATTCTTGCACATTAAGAATGATAAGGTTTAAAACTAATAATGTCATTCTTAGTACAATACAAATAGTATGATTAATATTAACTTTACATTATTAAAAATATAGTGAAGAAAAACATAAGGGCAATTCTTCTTAGGCTTAAAGGGTAGGCTCATTTAGACCTGCAGTTCTAAACTGAAGTCACTCTTAAACACAAGGCCCAGGACTGCCTCCAAAGAGACAGCAGCCTCTCGGATACATTACCGATATTGGCTCGTCTCTTGATCTCCTTCCGCCTGTTAGCAAACCAATTATATACTTTCAGGGAGGTAACTCGTTCCAGATCTGACAGTTTTTTGCCTGTGAAGACATGCAGTAAAATTCAGAAAATCTCTGAGGCTAGTTTTAAGGGACAATACTTTTTTTTTTTTCAGATGTTTTTCTCACTGCATTTATTGCCAGAATAACAGATATAGAATTTTCTTTTAGCATGATCTAGTACTATATATAGACTTAATTACTGAATGAATAAACATATGGTGGTGGTGGTTTAGCGGCTAAGTTGTATCTGACCCTTGCGGCCCCATGGACTGTAGCCTGCCAGGTTCCTCTGTCCATGGGATTCTCCAGGCAAGAATACTGAAGTGAGTTGCCATTTCCTTCTCCAGAATAAACATATAGTGGTAAAGAACCCGCCTGCCAATGCAGGAGACAAGAGACATGGGTTCAGTTCCTGGGTTGGGAAGATCCCCAGGAAGAGGGCATGGCAACCCACTCTAGTATTCTTGCCTGGAAAATCCCATGGACAGAGGAGCCTGGTGGGCTGTATAGTCCATAGGGTCACAGAGAGTCAGATACGACTGAAGCAACTTAAGATAGGATGGAAAAATAAACATACAAACAGCCCTAATAACACAAAATGCTTCAATTCAGAAAGCCACAGAATATTAAGGAATTCCACTATAAAATATTGAAGGATTCAGTCTGCTAGGGTTCAAAGTTCACATGACAGTACTATGAAAGCTTCATTTAATTAGCATCATTTACTTAGATGAATACATTATTCTTTATCACATTCCCAGATAGCTGAAGTTTCCTTACATCTTTAAGGCCTTGTATTAACTAGTTTTCTGCTGTCCTAAGACAGAGACCACTATCCATGTCTTCTTAAAGACTAAGGTCACCATGCCCCTCTGTTATTGTAACTACACAGGAACACACAGCACAATTCAAGTTGCAAGCTGCTGTCAAATGTGACGGTTTACAGATAGCACCATGTTTAGCAACATGGCAACCACCCTTCTCCTTCATCGTTTTCTGTTTTAGCTTTTAACTCTCAGTGGGTAGAGGGACCAGAAAACAGATCAGGCACTTGATGCACGGGGCTTAAGTACTTTCCAGGAAGAGTCTGAGTTCCACCCAGCACAGCGTTAGGGCTGGGACTTTGGCCTGTGAGAAGTAAGGGTACCGATGTCATTGTAGATGACTATGTATGTTCTGGACAGTTAGAAGTCTGGCTTCTGACTATGGGAGAATAAATTAGTATTTAATTATCACAAAACAGTGATAAAACTTAAAACATAAAAAAGTGATACTTTTGTTATGTACCCTTTAAGCCAATCCAGTTAACTGGCCAAATGGAGATCAATTGGATCTTCTTCACTGAAAATGGTTTCTGGCTTAAAAAAAAAACCACCACCGCCATCATCTGTGGAAGAACATTTTAGCACATGACGTATGAGCGTTCCAGGGGCTCTGCTGACTTGAACAGGGACAGCTGGACTTCAGAATGGAAATACTCCGAGTTAAGAAGTCATCCCAATGTAGAAATGGGAAAGAAGTCCGCGCCAAAAAGAATTCTTTCGTTAAACAGGAATACAGAATTATACAATTTTCAACAGTTACAAAACAAAACTATCTTAATGTTTATATTAAAGTCTTGTTTAAGTATGCCAACTTTGAAACTATTCTGAAACTGGTATGTTTATGCTGTATTTTTGGAAAAAGAAGTCTATACAGTCATTAAAATTAGTAATTTCAAGGTTGCATATCTCAAGCAAGGATACTCACTGGAACTTTCCCACATGAAGCCTAAATTTGGAGTAGTGTAATCACCCCCTCAGAAGTACAGTGTGAACAAGATAGGGCAATGACCATCCACAGGAGGATGGTGGGAATGGAGCCAAGAGCACCCGCCGGGATGAGGAAGAGACCGAAGTCCCAAATGCTGGTCTGAGCACAGCCCAGAGCCAAGCGCACTCGCTGCCTTACCTGGCTTCTGTATCACTGCGTTGCAAGCATTTGCAATTTCTTCTCTCTTTGCTTCATCTGGGTACTGATTCTCATTGAAGTAACTGCAGAGGCAATCAGTTAAGACACAAAGTTTGTACTTTTAGAAATGTGCTCTCCTTAACATACAAGCTCAGTGAAAAAGATGTCCTTTTCTAGGATGTAACATTAATGTCTAGTCCAGGCCGTCTGATGGCATTTTCTATGAGGATAGAAACAGTCTTTCTGTCCAAAGGGGCAGCCACTACTCACATGTGGCTACTGAGCACCTGAAATGATGCTGATGTGGAAGAAGTGAATTTTTTATTTTCGTAAATTTAAAAAAAATAATTTTATATATTTATGATTTGGCTGCCTGGGTCTTAGTTGTGGCACATGGGATCTAGTTCCCTGACCAGGGACTGAACCCTGGCCCCCTTCATTGGGAGCTTGGAGTCTTAGCCACTGGACCACCAGGGAAGTCCCTGATTTTAGTAAATTTAAACAGTTACATGTGACTGGTGGCTACTATATTGGATAGGACAGGTTTAGCCACTGCTAGGCTTCGATAAAAGGTGTCCTGGATATAAAAGTTACTTGTGATATGGGTGGCTGACCTGACTGAAATCACAGACTTCCGTTATTGAGGCACTGGTAACAACAGGACTCTTTTTGTATGTCTTGTTTGTAGTAGCAAAACGTGGAAATTACCCAATTGCCCATCAATAGGAGAATGATAGAACAAATTATGAGACATCTATATTGATACACAGCTATTTAAAAAGGACTAGAAAAACTATTCATTGGCTTGGGGAGATGTTCTTCACATGGTCCTAAATGGGAAAAAAAAAAAAAAAACCAATCTGTAGAATAATGTGCATGTAAAAGTACTGTTAAGAACTTTTTAAAGTCCCTGTCTGACTTAGAGAATGAACTCACGGTTGCCAGGGGCAAAGAACGGGGGAAGGGACAGTTAGGGAGTCGGGGTGGACATGCGCACACTGCTGCTTTAAAATGGACAATCAGCAAGGGCCCGCTGTATAGCACAGGGGACTCTGGTCAGTGTTATGTGGGAGTCTAGGGGAGGATGGTTACATGTGTGTGTGTATACATACATACATACATATATATATGGCTGAGTCCCTTTGCTGTGTACCTGTAACTATCACAACATTGTTAATCTGCTACACTCCAATATAAAATAAAAATTTAAAAGAGAAAAAAAATTCCTGTGTATGTGTACTTAAATCTGCATGGATAAAGGGTGGGGGGGAGGGGACATAGGCATACTTATGGCTGATTTGAGTTGCTGCAAGGCAGAAATCAACACAACATTGTAAGGCAATTATCCTCCAATTAAAAAAAAACCTAAGTGACTAAGTATCAGAATATTGATATATTTATCCTCTAATAAAATGTCCTCATAAAAAATCTGCATGGATAAAAGCTGGAAGGGTACACATCAAGGTTGATTACCTTATCATGGGGAAAGGGATAAGCAGGAGGAAACTGAAACATTTTAAGATTTATCTTTGCCTTTTCCCACACGTTACAATGCATATATTACTTCTGTACAACAGTACTTAAAGAAAGTAGGTTACTGAGCCCACCCTTGGCGTTGTCAGGCCTGTGAGACTCTATGTGGAAACAGTATGCTTATCAGTACTACTTGTTCTGTCACCTGTGAGTTTTCAAAAGGAAAACAGAATTTCTGTGCTTTGAACCTGGAAACTTAAGATCAGGAAATGATTCCTTGTCACATCGTAGTTCCTCTCACTTCCTTGGGAGCTTTCCTTCCCCCAGAACACAGCTCTCCCCTTCCCTCATCCTCTGTCTGCACTGGTGACAGTGCCATTCTATTGGGAGGCCCCTAACCTCCCTTGAACCATGCCTTCTGCAGTGTAGCTCCTCTCCCCCGCACCCTCTCCATGTGGAGAGCATCCTTTGCCGAAGTCCCGACACAGCACCTGCCATCACCGAACAGCCTTTCCTTTTCTATAATATAAGCAACAGAACTCTATCAATCCAGTCATGCAACTACCACCCCACACAGAGGTCTCCTGCTTTAGTTCAGGATTTACACATCTCTTTCCACATGATTTTCTGTTATCATTTTTAGAGCTTCAGACTGAGGATTTTTCCAAGTCACTGCTCCACTTCCACATTCCTACTGACTTCGTCTTAACTCCACCTCTGCTATTTATTTGGGCAAAGACTCTGGATTAGTTTCCATTAACCAGCAGCACAGGCATTACCCAGGGGCTTGTTAGAAAGGAAGAATCCCAGACTTTGCCTCAGACTAAATGAGAATCTGAATTTTAACAAGATCTCCAGGTAATTTGACTGCACATTAATGTTTGAAAAGCACAGGATCAGCGCATTCATTTAAAATTTATCAACAAAGACAACAAAAGCAGATACTAAGTATCTAATGTTATATGCATCCACTGTGGGTCAAGAAGAGAATTAGATAGTTTCTGACTGCAAGGAGTTTATAATCTACTGAAAGTGAAGTGAAAGTGTTAGTTGCTCAAGTCAAAGTGTTAGTTGCTCAGTCGTGTCCAACTCTTAGCGACCCACCAGGCTCCTCTGTCCATGAAATTCTCCAGGCAAGAATACTGGAGTGGTAGCCATTTGCACCTCCAGGGGATCTTCCTGACCCAGAGATTGAACCTGGGTCTCTGGCACTACAGGCAGATTTTTTACCATCTGAGCCACCAGGGAAGCCTATGATCTACTGAAGAGACACATAAATTGCTACTCTTGATAAGATTCCATAGGCTGTCTGAACAGAGCTCAGTGTTGCCATAAGACTGGGCAGAGGAAGTGCCGTCTGAGTTACGTCTTGAAGACAAGATAGGAGTTTGCAAACAAAGAAGAGAAGGAAGAACTTGTCATGAAAGGGAAAAAGCATGAGCAAAGGCAAAAGGTAGATTAAAGTCTTGATGATTCTGGGTACGGAGAAGAGTTCAGTGTGGTTAGAATACGGGGTTCACAAGAAAAAATGAGAGATGCTAGTCTGAAGGAGTAGGATCGGACCACCTTGTGATGTTCCATATGCAATGAAGATTTCATCTTGAAACAGGTTTTACAACCCACACAGAGATACACTCCCAGCTGCATTTTAGAAAGACAGCACATCTTCAAGGCTCAAGATGACTTAGACTTAGAACTCCACATCTAAATCTGAAATTCTGAAACTCCCTAGTCAGCTTTCTACTCACCTACTCCACCTCTTCAAATTTCTTCTTCTTTATACTAATCTCGAATCCTTTAAAACCCTCCCCCAACTTAAAAAACCTGTTCATCTATCACTCTTCTTTTGACCTTATCTTGCTTCTCACCCTGAATTCCATGGCAAGCTGAATCAACAGTACTCTTAGAAGATACCATGTGATTCAGGAATCCCACTCCTGGGCATACATCCAGACGATAATTCAATGCAACTCTATGTTCACAGTAGCACTAGTCACAATAGCGAAGACAAAGAAGCAACTTAAATGTTCATCGACAGACAACTAGATAAAGAAGATATGGCACATATATACCTTTACAACCAGTCATAAGAAAAAAAGAAAATAATGGCATTTGCAGCAACATGCGTGCAACTAGAGATTACCATACTAAATGAAGGTGAAGTCACTCAGTCGTGTCTGACTGTGACCCCATGGACTGTAGCCTGCCAGGCTCCTCCATCCATGGGATTTTCTAGGCAAGAGTACTGGAGTGGGTTGCCATTTCCTCCTCCAGGGGATCTTCCCCACCCAGGGATCAAACCTGGGTCTGCTGCATTGCAGGCAGACTCTACCATCTGAGCCACAAGGGAAGCCAAACTGAAGTAAGTCAAAAAGAGACAAATACCATACAATATCACTTAAATGTGGAATCTAAAATATGACACAAATAAACCTGTCCATGAAACAGAAACAGAATCAGGGACACAGAGAATAAACTAGTGGTTGCCAAAGGGTTAGGGGGTGAAAGAGGCTAGGAGTGGGAGTTAGCAGAAGCAAACTGGGGGACTAGCAGAAGCAAACTGGTGTGTATAGAATGGAGAAACGACAAGGTCCTACTGTACAGCACAGGACACTATATTCAATATCCTATAATAAACCATAATGAGAAAGAATGTGAAAGAGAATGTGTGTATATGTGTGTGTATATATATATTGTATATGTGTGTATAACTCAGTCACTTTGTTGTACAGCAGTAGTTAACACTGTAATTCAACTATACTTCAATAGAAAAAAAACCCAAACAAAACACAGTATCTCTTAGGAGAAATTCTGATTACTCAGCTATCCTGTCCTTCCACCATACCTGTCCTGCCAATCTATCACCGTGCAGAAAGCACGTTCCACTTTTTTCTTCCATCCTTCAATCAGGGTACCAAGAGTTCCTAGACAAAGTTATAAAATAGGGCCAAGTGATTTCTTTATTACCCTGTGTTTCTCGACCTTAACTAGGCCCCTTGTTTCTGATGGGAATGCTTTTTGTCCTTCTAGCCAACTGTCTGTAATACTCCCATCTTTCATGCCCCTCTTTCCTGAAACCTTTCCCAAGCCCTCAAACCTACCACCGTCATTCTTTTTGCAGATGTCCTTGCCTCCTCTTTTACCAAGATGGAGATTATTAGGATTTGTTTAATGTTTTTAGCTTCTCAACTTCTATATGTCTCTGAGTCACTGCTCATTCATCTCTGCATCTCATGGAAGAGGAAGATGCAGTCTCCTCTTCGAGGTCTACTTCTTCACTTGTGTCTTTGATCTCATAATCCTGCTGTTTCATTTTCTCGTGTCTCCTTTCTTTCCTGCATATCTTCTTTTTAAAAAAATTTCTGTATTTAATTGGAGGCTAATTACTTTACAATATTGTAGTAGTTTTTGCCATATATTGACATGAATCAGCCATGGGTGTACAAGTGTCCCCCCCATCCTGAAGCCCCCTCCCACCTCCCTCTCCATCCCATCCCTCAGGATCATCCCAGTGCACCAGCCCTGAACATCCTGTCTCACCTGCATATCTTTTCCCTGTGCCCTCATATTTTACTCTATTTCACTCATTTTAAGATGCATATTTCTTCAT